TTAGTCTCTACCACTGTAAAATCCGTACATATACCTAGTAAAAATAACTGAGGAGTAAACTTTATCCTTCTTTTAAAAAATTTTTTGCATAACCCACCATATTTTTATCCAGAATGCCTTAACCTTTCTTATTATTTTTGATGAATGTATTTTTATTCTCCTTATGAACACTGAGAGCATATGCAAAGACAAATTCCTTGTGTATCAAATCACACTTGGCCAATAAAGAATTCTGTTCTGTTCTATTCTTTTCTATTCTATTCTATTATTCTACTCCAACTATGGCGAACCTTTTTTGGCTCGCGTGCCATAAGGGGGGGAACGCAGAGGGGGTCGTGCGCTGGTGTGCCACACCAATAATGCAATGCGCGACCCCCCCCAGTGCTCCTGCGCGCATGAGAGGTGCGACCACCCCCCATTTTTGCATGCTTTTTTCGCCCTCCCCAGGCTCCAGAGGCTTTATAGGAGCTTGGGGAGGGTGAAAAAAGCCTTCCCCCCCCCCCCAGAGGCCCTCCAGAGGCTTCAGGAGGCTTCCCTGAAGCCTCAGGAGGACTAAAAAGGACCCTGTAGGGTGGTTTTTAGTCCTCCAGAGGTTTCAGGGAAGCCTCCTGAAGGTCCCTGAAGCCTCTGGAGGGCTTAAACCGACCCTACAAGCAAACTGGAAGTCCATTCCTGAACTTCCTGTTTGCCAGTTTTTGCACTCCGGAGGCTTCAGGGAAGGTCCTGAAGCCTCCAGAGGGCCTCCAGGGTGGGAAGACTCTTTTCGCCCTCCCCAGGCTTCTATAAAGCCTCTGGAGCCTGGGGAAGGCGAAAAATGGCTTTAAAAAAGGCTGAACTCAACTGGCCAGCGCGTGCATGTGCACTGGCCAGCTGACAGGGCAACGCCTTGCGTGCCCTGACAAATGGCTCCATGTGCCACCTGTGGCAGGTGTGCCATAAGTTCACCATCCCGATTCTATTATTATTCTGTTCTATTCTACAATCTATTTTTTCTATTCTATTCTATTCTCTCCCTCTCTATCCCTCTCCCTTCCTCTATCCCTCCCTCCAGTATACGTCCTCTGGTTTCTCCTCTTCTATTTAACTTTACTCAGGAGAGCAGTAAACAATCAATCTGCTTTCTATGCTCATTCAGATTACGGCTATACTCCAGAGGAGGCAGATGGGGAAGGAACTGGGGAGACCGTCTGGCCACCTCCTGGATTTAAAGTGGTGCTGAGCTTAAACCCTGGAAATGTACAGATAACCTAAAATGGAGAATGCGAACAGCCCCAGCTTGCAACTAGAACAGCTGGTGACCCAGCCAGTCCCTCTGACAGCCCACGAGGATGCCTTCTCTTACAAGGTAATGTCTTTCATCCTAAAGTTTTAATTTCCGAGATTCACCAGAGTGCTCCGAGGTAGCACAAAATGAGGAAAATATATATTTTTAATATTTATTAAATTTATGGGCTACCCATCTTACCATAGGTTAACTCTGGGCGGGTTTATTATATATATATATATATTTAAAAAACTAAAACTGTATGAATAAAGTGCTCCAAAAATATAAAGGGTAGCTCAGAAACATGGACTTGGGGAGCAGTGGCTGGAGAAAGGACTATGTTTATGAAACAGGTGACCATATAAATACATAAACACAGTCTTGCATGTCTCACTTAAGAACTGCAGTGATTCTTTTTGACAACCAGGGCAAAAGAGGTTGTAAATTTGAGTACACAACTCTCTGCATTCAGAAGTGGCTCAAGCAGTCACTCCCCTATTAACTGCAGCGTAAGAAGGGGAGGTACTGTTCAAACAAATGTGGTTATTATAGCCAAGCTCAATAAAATATAATTCTGATTTTCCTGTAGAATTGCTTTTCTGAGCTGCCTTTCTGATAATGTTATAACATTGCCAAATAACCTCCAATAACGTTTTGGAAGGTCAGAAAGCAAGTGAGACGTGCCTGATTTTACGACTTTTTATGCCCCAGGTGTTAAGAGAATCACTAGTACGGTTGTTAAGTGAATCACACGGTTGTTAAGCGCATCCACTTCTCCCATTGATTTTGCTTGTTGGAAGAAAAGCTGGGAAGGTTGCAAATGGTGATCACACAATCCTGAGACGCAGCAACTGTCAGAAATACATGCTGGCTGTCAAGTATCCAAACTTTTGATCATTTGACTGTGGTGGCATTGCAACAATCAGACCGGTCATAAATCATTCCTGAATGGTTGTAAGTCAAGGATGACCTGTCCAGGGGTGCTTTCGGCCTTAAAATTCTTGCACAAATGAGTTTGGAATTGCAATGGACCAGATTCCTCTTCATACAGGGACCTTTGTAGTGTTCAACTTGGGGATGAATTCGGTTTAGGCCCATTCAACGTATCTTTTGAGAGCATCAGTTTGGAGAAAGCAGACATGGATTTTATGTTTGCCTGGACAAATATATGCTCCTTGCAAAGTGTTCTGACCGAGGCTTCCCAAGAGCATAAAGCAAACTCCTTGCTCTGACAAAAAACCCTTTTATTAATTTACTGTGAATTCTGCTCGCTCACATCCAGCAAAGTCTTTCGAGGGAGGATTGACAGTCACAGACCTTATGTTGCTTGGAGAGCTGACAGGCCGATATCTGCAAAACCTGGCAAGGAGNTTGTTTGTCCTTCAGGTGCTTTGGAGGATAGCTTGAGCCCCTCCTCTCTGTGGCAGCCCCTCAAATATTGGAAGACTGCTATCATGTCTCCCCTGGTCCTTTTCTTCCCTAGACTAGCCCAGCTCCTGCAAACGTTCTTTGTTCTTCCTATGTTTAGTCTCCAGTCTCCTAATCATCTTTGTTATTTGGTTTAGTGATTTGTTTTAACCCTGATTCTTAGAATGGAAAAGCTGAGAAGAAGGGAGGTTGGGTGGAGTTTCTTAAATTTGATGCATTGTGATTTTGTAAATTCTAAAACTGCAGTTTTCAAACATTTTGGTCTCTCCCACACACACACACTTTACGGTCTAAAAATGATTGAGGAACCTAAAGAGATTGTGTGGGTTTTATCTGTTCATGTGTGATGTGTTAGAATTTAAACCTGAAAAATGTTAAGATGTTTGTTTATTCACCGACAAACCTGGGAACTGCAGGGTTGAAAGTTAGGTACTGTAGTGATATAGAATTGGCAGAGGTGGCAAAACTGATAACTTTGACAACTTTGATTAAAGAAAAGATTTGTGACTGATTTTATTTTTACTTGGAAATCGCTTACAGGACTTTTGAGAGAAAGGGAAAGAAATGAAATGTTATTTTGGAGTGTGATGGTTAGTATTATAGCCATTTGTCTGAAATGGTATAGGGTCTCCAGTTTGAGCAACGGGTTGGACTAGAAGACCTCCAAAGGTCCCTTCTAACTCTGTTATTGTATTAATTATATGGGGTTATAGAAATAATGTAGACAAATAATCTTAGAGTAAGAGTTTGAGGTATATAACTATATATCAAAGAAAGTCAGAAATCATCCTATTTCTATTTTTCTTTCTTTTTGGAACTTTGTCTTTTTCTCTTGGTCTTTTATTTGTTAATAAATTTTAGAAATAAGTAAACACATACAGGTATCCTAATTTATGATTGTAATAGAGTCTGGAATTTCCACCGTAAATCATAACGGACGTAAGTCAAGGCACCTACATGACTGGATGGGATTTTGTGACTTTTTTGCTGTGGTTATTAAATAAGTGTTGTCATTAAGTGAACAATAACCACTATCTGAATCTAACTCTGATGTTAAGCAAATCAATGTATTCTTACCGGTTATTTTTGCTGGAAATCATTCAAAAATTGGCAAAATTGGGACCATGAAATGTTACTAACTTAAGAACCACAGTGATTCATTTAACAAGTGTGGCAAAAACGGCCACAACATGGGGCAAATTTCACTTAACAAATGACTCACTTAGCAACAGAAATTAGAGTCTCAATTGTGATCATAAGTCAAGGACTATCTGTATGCTGCTGCCTAAGCACCTCCAGACAAGAAAAACACACCTGTTCTTACCAAATTATGTTTACTCTTAAGATGTTTGTCTCCAAAACCTGTTTCCCTACTGTTTTTGTCTCCTGACCCTGGGACTGTCCTCTGGAGCAAAACAAACAAATCTCTGTTTTTAGCATGACCACTCTGTGGAAGTTTTGAGATAGCGATGCAATCTTCTCAACCATCTCCTCTTCTGGTTTAACCAGTGCGTTCTAGACAAGGTAGATGCCAAGAACGGAAGCTGGAAGTTTCTGACTCCAATCACTGTACAGATGGATAAGATTCAGCCACTCTAGAGACCCCGGTTTACCCATAGGATTTCAAGTCCTTAGGATTTGATCTGTGCTGGTTATGCTAAAATCCTAATGCTACTTTTATGATCCTGGGTTAGTTGGCTGGCTTAAAGTCTTGCCCTTGCAAAGGGAAATTGAGGTGGAAACTGAATTGGGTGGTGTAGGAAGTTAGCACCCATCCCTCTCCTAGAAAAATGAAATATTTTAGGAAATTTTAAAAGGGCAGAATATTTCCCATGAACGGAAGGTAGAAACTCCCCCTCCCCCATCTTAAGGCCTGGGCCAGTCTATTCTACATAACAAAGATCTACCTCCTTCAGGCAGAGCCATACTAGGAATCTCAAAGCCCTTTCATTGCATCTTCACCCAGCAAGAGTCAACCAAGCCTGGGACTCAGGACAGCCTACAGAGTTGCCCCTGCATGGCCCCATGGGAGTCTGACAACCAATCAGAATACAAGCTCAAATTCAANGATATATGATATATGATATATGATATATGATATATGATATATGATATATGATATATGATATATGATATATGATATATGATATATGATATATATCTGTCTGATATGGTATAGGGTTTCCTGCCTAGGCAGGAGGTTGGACTAGAAGACCTCCAAGGGCCCTTCCAACTCTGCTATTGTATTTTTTTTGTATTGTATATAATATATGATATATGATATGCAATATATGATATATGATATATATTTATAAGTCTAAATGCTAATGCTATATATGATACATCATTTAGCATTAGCATTTCGACTTATATACCACTTCACAGTGCTTTACAGCGCTCTCTAAGTGGTTTACAGAGTCAGCCTATTGCCCCAAACAATCTGAGTCCTCATTTTATCCACCTTGGAAGGATGGAAGGCTGAGTCAACCTTGAGTCTGGTGCAGGGGTGGATTGCTGCCGGTGTTACTGAGATTTGAACAAATTGCAGGAGCAGAGGTAGCCTGTAGTACTGCACTTTAACCACTGCGCCACCAAGGTTCATCATATATCATATCATATATCATACCATATTTTGTTTAATTATTGTCACATTCCACACTGCAGCTTCCATGTTCTTCTGTCTGGCCTTTTAAGCGTCCATTCATCTTAATAGGTATTTATGTTGCCTCTGCAAAAAACAGGTACATTCCTACCGATCCCAATAAAACAGTGTTTCCTATTTTGTTTTTTAATCATGTGAATTTGATCCTAGAGTTTCTCAAGCTGGGTGATCAACTCAAATCTTATGGAACTGGAACAATCCATCAGTGGAACGGCTTGCTTTCAGAAGTTAAGAGTGCTCTATCACTGGAGGTTTTTAAGTAGAGACTGGACAGCCATTTGTCTAAAACAGCATAGGGTCTCCTCCTTGAGCAGGGGGTTGGACTAGAAGACCTCCAAGGTCCTTTCCTGCTCTGTTATAGAACCAAAGACCCTACTGCTAAACCTCACTCAAGTTTGGCCGCCTGCCACTGGACATTTGCCACTGTGGCTACTAGAGGCCGCCCAATGGAAAGAAAGGCGCTACTTGCGTCTACCCCTCATTCCCCCCCAGCATCTCACCCTCTCCCAGCCGGCTGCACCACTGGCTGCACCAATGACAGAGGAGCTATGCCAGCTTCTACCTGCTTTGCTTTCCTTCTCCTTCTCCAGCGTTGACCCTAACTCAGGGGAGAACCTGGAGAATGGGTATTTACAGGTGCTACACTGTACATACAACACCTGGAACACTCTACCTGATTCCGTTGTTTGTTCCTCAAACCCCCATATCTTTAACCTTAAACTGTCTTCTGTGGACCTCACATGTTTCCTAAGAGGTCCGTAAATGGGGCGTGCATAAGTGCGCCAGTGTACCTACTGTCCGCATTGATATGTACTAATTTTATATGTTCATGGCCATGTTATACTTATTTATATCCATTTATTTGTACCAATCTCATGTGATAATGTCCGTGTCTATACTAATAGACAATTACCTTATACATGTTGACAACTAAACCAAACCAAACTAAACTAATCTAATCTCTAAGCAGGGAGGGAGGAGCCACGTCACG